AGACTAAGAATGGGGTGGGGAGGGGCTGCAAAAGGCAAATGGAGTGGGGTGACCAGGAAAAGGATGGATGCTGAACACCCGAAAACAACACGTGCCCCATGATTCAGGTCAACTCATGGAAAAGGTCCTGAAGAGATGTCAGAGATCTGGGATTCTATTCCTTCTACCCCATCCCCGTATGGACCATCTCCATCTTCCTTGAAATCCCACCAGAGTGTCTGTGAACTGACATGAACCAATTTGGTCCTGTCATGGGTGGTTAGAGCACACTCTTCCACACCCCATCAAGTATTTATTACTGAGAAGTAGCAAGTTCAACAAAAGCCAGCCGCTCCTCAAGCTGCATGATGCCCACCCCCCAGCCTTGCAGGAAACACACCCACCACAGACTTAACACTCTCACTGAAGGTGCCAGACAACTACAGATCCAGAATAAGATGGCAGGAGAGAGAACCCTTAGGACTCAAGCCTCAGAGCTATCTTTGAGTGTTCAGGCTGTAGGCTTTGTTCCTCCAAGTATGAAGATGGTCTCTAAAACAGCCCTGAGATCTATAGCTGGGCATGTTGGCACACAGCTTTAATTCCAGCAAGCAGGAGGCAGAGACAGGCAGATCTGCGAGTTCAAGGCCAGCCCAATCTATATACAGCAAGTTCTGGGACAGCCAGGAATACTTAACAGAGTGCTCCTGTTTGAAAAGAACTAAAAACAAGTAATGCTCAGAGCTAGAAAGCCACTAACGTCACAGCAAATGAAAATCTGTTTCAGATGCTAACTGCTAGGTCCTCTGCTGGTGACTTATGGATAGAGGGAGGGTGACTGACTTTAGGTGACAGGGAAACATCTGGGTTCAGAACTGCTGCTCCACAGATGGTTGGTGTTTAAGGACTACAGAGGTGACTGGGGGTGGGAGGCTGAAACACACTTCAGCTGGGATAATGCTTGCCTGGTATGCACATGACCTCAAGTTTCATCCCCAACACCACAAAAACTGGCCGTGGTTAAACAATCCTCCACGTACCCCCAACTTGGGAGACAGAGATAGGAGGATCAGATGCTCAAGATCATCCTCAGCTACATAGCAAAGCCCAGGCAGCTCGGGTACACGAGACCTTGTAGTAAAGAAAAGGAAGTTATGACTCAGAGGATAAAGATACCTGCTCCCAAGGCTAACAACCAGGTGGATGGAGAGCACCAACTCTGGTAGGTTGTCTTCTGAACTCCATGCGCATGTGACCACGCATACATACAAGCAAATAAAATATTAATAAAATGTAATTAAGGAGTAGTATGGTGGTGGTGGTGGTGGGACTGGAAACGCTATGAAGTCTTGAGTTCAATCCTCAGCCCTTCTAGAGGAGGAGAAAGAGGAGAAGGAAGAAGGGGAAGAGGAGGAGGAAGAGGAGAACAAAGAAATAGTAACACCAACATTTATTTGATGGGCAAGCAGAAGAGAGACAGCCCAGTACTATGTCCCCAGCGATTGCTACACGCACACTTTATTATTTTAAATGTAGGACAGTGAGACAATAGCTCAACTCAGTGTTTGTCTTGTATACACAAAGACCTGAATCTGAGCACTAGCACCTAAAAATCCAGGTATAGGCATGGGGCAAATACTTGTAACCCCAGCACAGGGCAAGTACTAATTAGAGACCCTGTCTCAAAACAAAAACAAAATAACCAAGATGGACGGCTCCTGAGGAATGAGATCTCTGACTGACCCACATGTACATGCAGCCACACACCTATGTATCCCTCCACAAACAAACATGCACACAATATTTACTGAATGAACTTGAAAGCCAGTCAGAGACGTGGTGGATGAACCAGGGAAACCATTGTTCCTAAGCCAACTGAGAGACAGATTTTGAAATGCAGAGAAGAAAGCTAAAGCCACAAAAGTCACTCTGGGCTTGGGGACAAGAAGTAATAGGTTTAAATTTACTTTTATTTTATGTGCACTGGTGTCTTTCCTGCACATTTGTCTGTGTGAGGGTGTCGGATCCCCTGGAACTAGACAGTTGTGAGCTGCCATCTGGGTGTTGGGAATTGAACCCGGGTCCCCTGAAAGAGCAGTCAGTACTCATAACAGCTGAGCTATCTTTCCAGCCCCAAGAAGTAATTGGTAGTGAGATGTTCTTGGAATGTTTTACAGGTGCGTTTCCGGGAATGTATGCGCTTATGTATATAAGTTTATCATATATTTTATTGTACAATACAAGTAGTAGTATACTCTTCCTGTGGGGGCCAAAACCTATGGTCATGCTAGTTAAACCACTCTAGCTGAGCTCTATCTCCGACCCTACAATATTCTTTTAGTATTTTATGTGTATGAGTATTTTCCTGCACACATATCTGTTGTGCTCCAAGTACATGCCAAGTGTCATGGTAAAGAGAACAGGGCATTGGATTTTCTGGAACAGGAGTAAGCTGCCATGTGGGTGCTGGGATTTGAACCTGGATCCTCATAACTATCTCTCCAGCCTCCTACAAGATTCTTTAATGTAAATTCTTCTGTTTTTTGTTTCACTGTGCAATTCTAGCTATTCTAGAATGTGCTCCGTGTAGACCAGACTGTCTTCCAATTCAAAGATCCACCTGCTTCTGCCTCCTGAGTGCAGCTAATCTCTTTAAAATTTATGAAGTTCTGTGGTGATTTGGGTGCACACTTTTAATCTCAGTACTTGTGAGGTAGAGGCAGGTGGATCTCTGTAAGTTTGAGGCCACCCTGGTCTACAGAGCTAGTTCCAGGACAGCCAAGATTACACAGTGAAATTCTGTCTTGAAAAACAGAACAAAAAGTTCTATGAACTTATTAGCTACTTTTGTGTATTTGTATGAATAAGAGAAAAACCATGAAGGTACGTGTTTCTGAATTACCTGAAGGACATCTTGTTGTGTGGATTCTGTTGGTGACATCCTAACACAGTTCCAACTCTTGGGACTAATCTGCACTGATGTAACCTTTGCCTGTTGCTTCTCTCTCTCTCTCTCTCCCTCTCCCTCTCCCTCTCCCTCTCCCTCTCCCTCTCCCTCTCCCTCTCCCTCTCCCTCTCCCTCTCCCTCTCCTTCTCTGAAATAGGATTAAAGATGTGCACCAGACTTCTTAAATTTTTAATTTATTTTATTTTTGAGGGGAGCCAGTTCATGCTTAACTGTGATATTTTTAATTGTCCAAGTTTTTGACATTCACCCTCCTGCCACATATGTATGTAGTGTCTTAGAATTACAGAAAAATGTCACTGAAAGGTATGGAATGCTTCAGAAATGTGTCCCCTTGCACAGAGGCCATGGTAATCCTCTGTGTCCTTCCAGTTTTAGTGTATGTGCTACTGAAGTGAGCGTGTCCGTGTATGTAAAACCCTACAACCGGTGTCTATACAACCCTGTGAAACAGAAACCCATGAAATGTCAGGGGTAGATGTGACGCTCAGGACCACAAGGCTGTGCTGTAAGGAAGAGGCTTACAGGCTTCACAGTCAGCGCTCTTAAACCCACTGCTTCATAAAAGTGTTTTGAGAAAACTTTGAGATTTGCCGACTTTCTGGGGTCAAAGGGATCTGTACTTGACAATCCAGCTAACAGAGGCTAACGCTCAGCGTTCGGCAGACAGAACTGTTGCAGTTCTAAGCCTGCAGCTGGTTGGGGGACTTCTCAGGCTGTGCTCAGCCTCCATCCTGATCTGCTCAACTGCCACCCTCTTCACACCAAGGATGCCTGCCGGAGGAACACGGCAGGGGACCTCAAGAGCTGGGCCAGCTTGTCCATCCCTACGAGGGACAGCAAGTTCCTGTTGTTTTGTTGGGGAAAGGGTACTTACTATGCAGCCCTAGCTGGCTGGAAATGCACTATGTAGACCAGGCTAACCTTGAACTTGTGGCGCTCCTGTTTCTGCATACTGAGTGCTGAGATTGGGGGCATGATCACCATTCCTGGCTGCTTTAAGTTTTTGATGCTGAGGAGTTCACCCAGGACCTCCAAGGCATAGCAAGTACACACTTACTGGTGAGCTAGCTGTATCTCCAGTGTAAATATAACCTACTTAATTGCAAGTTCACACTGTTTAATTTAAATAAGAGTTGTTTGTCGACCTGTCAGTAGAACTCCCAGAAAAAAGTAATTTTTTCCAAGTTCAGTAATACACATGCAAAGGGGAGTGTGTGGGCTTCTCACAAAGCTGCACTTAAGTTTCTTCTCAGCAATAGCTGAAACATATGTAATATTTTGGTGGCTCTCAAGTTACAACTTCAAGCTTTGCTAAGAAACTCCTAAATCATTTTTTTGTAGCCTGTATCACAATTTACAGGATTAAATAAATCTGGGAGTACTGGGAAACTTTGTCTCTGTATGTCCAAAGCTGACTACAGGTCATATCACATTTATTTTCTCAATACTGTTAATAGGGCTTTGCCTATGGTAAGGAAGTCGTTGAATTGAATGTGGGGATGTGCTTTAGGTCATAGGGTTAAAAAAGCTCCTGGTAAGCACGAAGAAGGGCCATGGGTTGCTTCGCAGGAGCTGGGCAAACAACCTACAGCCAGGGTACCAACTTGATGGCACCTCTCACCACAGAAATGAGGTCTGAGCAGTCAGATAGCCATATACGCTAATACTAAAAGCACCTTAAAACTACAGCTCCGAACAGAGTTAAGGACAAATTACAAAGCATGAAGTGTGGTTGTAAAAGTCTATCAATCAGAACACTAAAAATAAAGATGATCGTCAGAGAATCAGATAGGAGCAATCAGGATGTTGTCAGGTCCTGATTACACGGAAATGCTAATCAGCAGATCATGCAAGCTCCAATCATCATGTTCTAACTGCCCTCCGAGAGGAGGAACAGGCAAGGATTAACCTCCTGACGATAAAGGACAAAGCCAGCCCATTCTTCATTAAGTAAAGACATCTCCTGTTTAAAGAAGGGTGAGAGTATGACACTTTTAGCACGAACCCAGTAACTTACAGTTCCTGCAACCCAAGAGTTATATCTATTTGCAAGCGCTTGAAATATTTTATTTTTCCATTCGGCGCAAAAAGGGAGAAACCAAATCCTCCCAGAATGCTCCGCTCACGTGCGGCAAATTAGAAACCCTATGTGAGGTGCTTATTTACATATCTCCGCCCACTCGCTTCCGCCTATCTTGTACCGTAAAAATCCAAATAGAAGCATCACCTATTAGCTCACATACATGTGGCGAGAAAAAAGCCTTTACTTACACCAGCCTCTTGGGCCACCAATGGTCTTCTATATAAGCCTTGCTTTTAGTATAAAATGAATTTTATTATAAAACTCTATAAAATTATAACCCAAGATTTGAGAGATCTTATCCCAACACTCCCATCCTCTGTTTAGCCGCAGTTGGGAGGAGCAAAAGACTAGGGCGAGAGAAAACTGAAGCCTCTGCCTTTCTTCTTCCGGCAATGGGAGGCAGCTCTTCACTTTTCCAACCTTGGTCCCTACATCCGGGTTGTGATCAGAAGGGTTTCTTTTTCAGCCCAAAGACAGCGATGAACAATGCAGTTTCAGTGACCGCTGGGAAGGCGCTGTGAAGAGTAGAGGGTGGGTTTAGAGCCCCTTCCAACCCAAGTACTCGAACCCCGAAACCTTATATGTGAGTGGGTTAGGGGGTGGGTAAACTCTTCAAACCTCTACCAATGTCACATGTGCGGTAAAGGTCCGGGTGGGGGAAACCTTCAGAGTTGAGACTTTCCACCACCCCCCATTCCAAAACACTGGGTGCTATGGCACCTGCAGAAGGCAAAAATGTACCAGTACGTGGTACACTCCCATCGCTCGAATATGAAGAAAGACAGGGCCACAGACGCGCTACAGTGGGCCGCAATGGCTTAAACACAGCAGAGTCAAGGAAAGGAATAGGTAAGTGATGGGCCTCTTTAATACCTGGACTTGGGTTCAGCTGTTCCCTTCCCTTAAGACAAGCACCAGAGTTGGCAGCCATGCCTTCTGAATTTGTGGGCAGTTATGTGTAAGAGGCCAGAGTTATGTGTTTACTTTCGTAGGACCTCTCCCTGTACACTTCTGGGAAGGTTAATGTCACGTATGCCTTAGGCCACACAAGAATACCTACAGGCCTGATACACTGTCCTCCTTGCCCACAATTCAAAAGTCAAAAAACAAAACAAAAACAAACAAACAAACAAAACCCAGGGTCTCTCTATGTAACCCTGGCTGACTTGGAACTCACTCACTATGTAGACCAAGCTGGCTTCGAACTTAGAGATTCGCCTGCTCCTGCCTCCCTAGTGCTAAGATTAAAGGCTTGTAGCACCATGCCCGGGCATCAAGAACCTTCCTATGTGCTTCATTTTCTGGGTCCCCTCTGAGTTCCCATAGTGCTTTGTATTTTACACACTCTAACAGCATTGTTTATCACACTGATTTACAGATGTTTATCTACCTTCTCCTCCAACGAGATAAAATGCTCTTACTCCCAGCCCAGGGATCGCCAGAACCTGGCTCACATCAGGATTTAACGAATGTTTGAAGTCTATTAATTCCCTAACGCTGTCTAAAACCTCTCACCTAGAGAGATTCGGTTTGCCACAGAGAGCAGAGACCTGTGCCCAAAAGGCCTACAGAGGTGGAAAGAGTGGTAATGGAGACGAGTCACATGGGATGGGGACGCTGGCCAGGCAGAAAGGATACAGAGGAGGCTCTGGGTGCTATTGAACATGGAGACTCCTGAGAGGAAGCCAGCCAGCTCCACTGCAAAGAGGCCCAGGGTGAGACAGAGCGCTGCTACCAGCCTGCAGAGAGAAAGGGGGTTGGACCGGGGTTTCTGGATTCCGTTGAAGACCCTTGCACTCTCACCCCGCCCCAAGAGCTCACTGGTTGTCCTGCTTCTCATATTCCTCGGGGGTGAACTTGAGAGGCAGGCAAGCCTGGATGTTGCTTTCCTGGTGAGCCAGGCAGAAAGAAAGAAATGTCAAAGGAGGGATGGGGTTTCGGGGATTGGTTGGGGAGGGGCCGGGGAACGGGAGCAACTGTGTGGGTCTGTGGGAGCGGACTGAGATGAGCTGCGTCCACTCCAAGATGAGAACGGGAGGGACAGAAGGGCACGCGCGCGCGCGCCCTGCCCGCGTCTTACCCGGGACCAGAACAAAGTGATGACAACCACCAGATGAGCCAAGAGCGTCAGGAACCGAGAGGGCACGAGCCCGGAGATCCGACCCATGGTCTCGGAGACCCAGAGCGGAGGCCGTGGTTTTTGAGGTTGGAAGTCTGAGGTGGGTCACTCATCAAGTCTCCCAGAGCAAGCAGGCCAGAGCTCTCTACTTAAGCCTTCTTCCCGCGCGCTCAGGCGCCGCCCGGTTGCCATGGTAACTGCGTCCGCAGGCGCCATGCAGCTGCTTCCGGAAGTCTCGCGATAGTGCTGCGCCCTCTGCAGACAACTGTAGGCCGGCTATGCGAGCCCTTGCTCACCTCCTGGTGCCGGTGGGTTGGACCCAAGAGGATGCACCCGGAACCACCAAATCTTCCCTTCTCCTGTGCTTCCCGCTCACTGCCTTGGGCGCTAGGAGATGAGAGGCTGATGCGCCGAGCTTATCCCACCGTCGCACCAAGTCCCCCAGCCCCTGGGGGTCAGAAGACTTCCCCTCCCACCCTAGACCAAAAGTGACTCTAATTCCTCCCTGAATAACTTGTCTTGGTTTCATGAGAGATTTGCCAAGTGCAGAAATGAGCAGCCTTGGGATGGTTAGGGTAGGATGTGGTGAGGTGACTGCCTCGGGAACCGAGGGGATCTGAAAGGGTGAAGAATGGAGCAGGGGACTGGAACGGCTTGTGAGTCCCTGGGAGGCTTAACCCAGGCTAGGACGTTGACCCACCACCGATGATCTCACTCCTGCTTTGAGCTGTCAGGCCCTGGATATGGCTCAATTACAGACCAAGAACCTCTTCGTAGGGTGACGTGACTGACTTGGGGCTTCGGATGAAATCCCTGCAGATCGGAAAGTTCTCACTACCTTCCGGGTTCACAAGTCGCATTGTTGACGGACCTGCCAACCCATTTGACTCCTTTTCCTTTGTGCTTCTAAACCAGCCCCAAAGACAAGACTCAGAGGGATTTCATCCATTCAACAAATATTTGATGTCTCTCAGCTGCCAGGCACTGTGCTTGGCTCTGGGAGTACGTCCATAAAATCCCTACAGTTTAGATTCTAGGCAGGTAGATTGATAACAACCAAAACAACAGCAAACCCCTGCAAGATAATGCGTGCTATATAATTTTTTTAAAAAAAAATTAGCCGGGCGGTGGTGGCGCACGCCTTTAATCCCAGCACTTGGGAGGCAGAGGCAGGCGGATTTCTGAGTTCGAGGCCAGCCTGGTCTACCAAGTGAGTTCCAGGACAGCCAGAACTACACAGAGAAACCCTGTCTTGAAAAACCAAAAAAAAAAAAAAAAATTAAAGGGTAGCACTAGAATAATATCAAAGGAAAGCTTTGAAAACAGATAATTCCTAAATTTTTGTTTCAAGGAATTGGCAGAGAGAGAGAGAGAGAGAGAGAGAGAGAGAGAGAGAGAGAGAGAGAATACGTTTCTGCCTCCCTAAAGTAATAAATGGGGTTCCCTTTCCTAAGCCAATGATTGAAAACATCTAGAACTCGAGTCAACCTATTTTAGTTAAAAGTCATCAAAGACAGACTGGAGTTCTTCTGAATGAATGGGGGACAAATTTAACCTAATCTGAGATCCCAAACCAGGCAAAAGAAACTTCCAACACACACACACACACACACACACACACACTTTTATTATAAAAGACTGTGGTGGAATGCTTGGCAAATTTGCATAGGGTTTGTAACTTAAACAACAACACTGTAAAGGTGTAATTTCCTGATTTTTTTCAGTATTGGAGATAAGCTCCGGGCCTCTTGCATATAGCTAGGTAAGCACTCCCACCTTCCCTTCTGAATCTTATAGTGTTACCATCAATGTATTGCATGACATCCTAAAACATAAAGAATAATTTATAGCAGTGAACGTCCTTACATGTTCAGCTCCTACATACTGAAACTTCTGCCTGTGGGATGCACTGGGGACCAAACACGGGGTCTGGACCATGCTAAACAACCGTTTTACTATTAAGCTCCACTCGAGCCCCTATATGGTGAAACTTTATAATGACTTTTTTTATATAAAGTTGAATCTTAAGCTGGATAGGGAAAACACCTACAGTCCCAGGTGGAGGAAAGAGGGTCAGAAATTCAAGGTTGTGCTAAGTTCTAAACCAAGCTACGTAAGAGCCTGTCACAAAAAACAAGAAACTAAAATGTCTCTTTAAAAAAATTGTAGGGGCTGGAGAGATGGTTCAGAGGTTAAGAGCACTGACTGTTCTTCCAGAGATCCTGAGTTCAATTCCCAGCAACCACATGGTGGCTCACAACCATCTTTAATGGGATAAGATGCCCTCTTCTGGTGTGTCTGAAGACAGCTACAGTGTACTATGAGTACATAAAGTAAATAAATTTAAAAAAATTGTAGAGATGGCCCAGTGGTTAGTCCCAGCACCAGGTGTTAATCCTAGCACTCAGGAGGCAGAAGCAGTCAGATCTCTGTGAGTTCAAGGCCAGCCTGATCTACAGAGTGAGTTCCAGGACAGCCAGGGCTAAACAGAGAAACTCTCTATTGAAACAAATAATGAATAGAGAATACTCTTATTAAATTCAATTCCCAGCACCCATCTTATGTTGCTTACAACCTCTTGTAACTCCAGATCCAGTGCCCCCTCCCTCTTCTGGACACACACACACACACACACTCATACTCAACACACACACAGGCTCACACTCAATGCACACGCTCATACACGATATTTAAAATAAGTTGCCAGGCGTGGTGGCTCACAGCTCAGGAGGCAAAGGCAGACGGGTCGGTGGGTCTGTGGGAGTTCAAGACCAGCGGAAGGTACATAGTGAGATCCTGTCTCAAAAAAAAAAAAAAAAAAAAGGCTTTAAAAATAAGTCAGTTAATCAAGCCATCTCTTAGCTTCATGTGGTGGCACACTCAAGATATCCAGGGCTAACAAACATTTTTGTTTTGTTTTGTTTTAAGATAGGATCTCACTATATACCTCCAGCTTTCCTAAAATTCACTATGTAGATCAGGCTGGCCCTCGAACTCACAGAGACCTTCCTGCCTCTATTTTCAGAGCGCTGGGGTCAAAAGTGTTCACCACCACTCCTAACTCCTAGCCACATTTATTTACTACTTCTCCTCTTCCTCCTCTCCCTTCTCCTCTCCTTCCTCCTCTTCCTTCTCCTCCTCCTTCTTTAATGAGAGGTGAGGTTTTTATAGTCTCCATCACAGAAGTTAGAGTGCTGTAAAACATGCCAGCGCTCGTAGGGCACAGACAAGATGAAAGAACAGAACGGTTCGTGTCTCTTCCCTGCTTGTGACTTGTGAGGCTGCGCTCCGTGATGGTGTAACTGGGGACTGTCTCCAGGCAGAAGCTGTATCATAGGACTAAGGGTGCGGAAAGGCTAGGACGTGCATTGGAGGATTTCCAAAGATCCAAGGGCAGGAGTCAGCCCTGCGGAGATCCGCGGAAACAGCATTCCAGACGAGGGAGGAGCCAGCTCTAGATAAGCCTGTCTGGCTGCCAGACAGAGAGGAAGCCAGGGACCCTGAAGCCTAAGGAAGCAGGAAAGATCAGACTCACGCTGGAGAAGCAGACGGGAGCTAAGCTTTCTCAGCCTCTACAGATATGGAGAGAGGCATAGTGAGACTTGTGTTCTAGACTCGTTGCAATATGGAAAACATTTTAAGTAGAAGATGAATGAGGAAGACGTGAAAGAAACATGTAGAAGAGATAGATTGAGTCAGGATGGAATCGAGCGGGTGGATTGTAGTAAGGGAATCAAGAGATCAAGAAATACTGATTTTCTTTCCCCCGAAAGACAGGGTCTCTCACGCTGTGGTTCTGACTGGCCTGAAATTCACTGTGTGCTGTAGGATGGCCTTCTACTCGAGGTGGTTTTCCTGTCTCAGCCTCCCAAGTTCTGGGATCTCTGGAATGTGCCCTAACCCCTCTCTTTGAGAGATATTTAGAGGAAAAAAGTCTGGGTCTGGCTGTGGGATGGGGGAGGCGGGATTCTAGCGTCTGGAAGTTTAGGGTTTTCTGCTTATAGTAGGCTTTCAGCCTAAGGGGCATACTAGATGGTAGAAACTAGGTAGTCACACTTCATGTTATACGGTAATGAAACTAAGTAAGCTTTGTTCGTCTGTCCTGACTTTTTCCACGACCTTGATTTTCAGAAGCCTCCCCTAGAAAAACTGTGTTTGAGTTTCAGTGCCACCCTGTGGCTATGAGTGGTACTACAGGTGACCGGTGTTCTTCAACCGACTTCTCACTTCAGGATTGGCTCTCTCCTAGAAAGAAGAGAGCGAGGGAGGGAGAGAGATGAGTAAGTATCTAGAATTATAAAGACAGAAATCAAGAAAAGTGACCCCAAATATTATCTGATAGTTCAAATTGCCTCTGTTTGGAGGGATCAAAAGAGTATATATCTCTGAATTCGGGGCACTGCCAGGGCCTGGGGAATTATGTTTTCTTCTCCGACAGTTGCTTGTGGAGTTTGGGTACAGGCATTCCATTCAACAACACATGCTGGTAATGTGTTGGCGACACGACACACGTTGGGTACCAGCTTCACCCCGGGTTTAGTGGGTTGGTCCCCAGATCAGTTGCTAGGAATGGATTCACTTGGCAGCCTGTCCTAGAGTAGCCTGTCATCACAGTGGAAGCCAGTGCCGCTGCTAATGACCTGCCCTTCCCACCAATCACCGGACAACAGTGCTTTCCCCTGTATTTGGGAGTCTGCCTGCTGGGAACATCCAGATCTCCCGGAGCCAAGGGGTGTTATCTACCTGGTCAGAACCTTCCTGTGCCATGCTTGTGTATGTTTTGACCTAGGTTGTCTTCATGCTTGGGCTGCTTGTCCACTACTGCTCTTAGCAGTGACCCACAGCAGGTGCTGCTGTACCTCCTCTACCTCCTCCAGGCTCCACAGGCTCCACAGGCTCCACAGTGCCGAGGACTGGCGGTTCAAGAGGGACTGCCAACAGAGGTCAGGCATGAAGTGCCAGCACATCATGGAACTGCCTGCAAACTAGCACGTGGTCTGAGTCAAGTGTGTGCTTCTGGGCTGCCATCTTAACTTTTCAATTTCATTTTCTTTTCTTTTTTTTTTTTTCTTTTGGTTTTTCAAGACAAGGTTTCTCTGTGTAGTCCTGGCTGTCCTGGAACTCACTCTGTAGACCAGGCTGGCCTCAAACTCAGAAATCCACCTGCCTCTGCCTCCCAAGTGCTGGGATTA